GCCTGCCCAGGCAGGGTGCACACGCTTACATGACGTGTACGCATGGTGGGCTCCCTGTTCTTAACAACCTCGCTGGGATCCAGCTAAGAAGATATACACATCTGTCCCACATACGGTTTATGACTTTGTAACTATAGAGCAATAATGCTTTGCTTTATAAAACAAAATAATCCAGCAGCAACAGTTGAGTCTCTAAACTTCTAGCTCAAACTGGAAAGCTATGGAAGACTCTGGACATAAAGATATACGCCACTAGCTTGTCATTTGACAAATGTCATCCATTACGCTTATAGCCATATGACTATTTGTCTGGGTAGGTGACTGAACCTGAAATAAGGGTAGCAGTATTTGCAAAAAGCAGCAGAATATAACTGACACAGCTGTAGCAGTTGTTCAGGTGAGCTTCTGGACTCAGGTGGTACTTCAGAGTCAGACAAAAGAGCTAACTTTATCAAATGAAACTCCATTGCTTATCTCCTCAAATGTTTTCAAAGCTTAACAGCAGTTGTCATTTTAGTAATGATCTTAAACAGAACTTGTAGGAGGTATGAGAGGTGAATATGTATCTTCCCCATTGACTGATCCAAAGCTATTGTTAAAGAGACAAAATGTTAAATGCCAAAAATGTTTAAATGTTTAGTCAAGTTTTGTACAATGTATCTGCCTATGTATCTACGACTTCTCCCCCTCTTTTTTTTTTTCCTTTAAGTTGAAGGTCAGAATAACCAAAACCAATACCAATTCTGAATCTTTAAAAGGAATGAGTACCATCTCTTGGATTGATAACAAATACTACATGTAAAATTTGCCTCTGTGCTGCCATGACAGAATAGGAACAGTTCCTATTCCACCTCCTTTATTTGATGGCTATTTTTTTTGTTGAATATACCCATCCCATTTTCAGCACTAATTGTGCAGTACTCATTTCTGTAATAGGAATATTACTGTGTAATATGGTCTAACTGGATTTTTATATTTCCCCATCTGTTTGAATGCCTCATACTTCAGCTGTAAGCTTTCCAGGAAAATGCCCGCCTTTTTTTTTTCCTTTTTGATGGTGCCCTGACGTTAAGCCAGTACATGGAACCCTTGGGGGGGAACACGAATGCCAGCAGATAACCACACGTGTGCTAAGTTTATATAGTTACAGGTTCACATGAACTGGGATAGATTCACGTCAAAGTATGTTTATAAAATCTGGAAAGCCTTTTAACACTGCATATCCCCATTGTTTGTAGATAACTGGCTATTTTGGGGTCACAATTAACAAAAAATGCTCTATTTGAAAAAATAAACAATACCTATACTCCATGTACTTAAAAGACTACAATAAAATATAAGGCTTCTTTTGTATTCAGAAATTATTTCATGCAGGCAGTCACCACAAACATTATACATCTGAAACAGTCAAAACCAAAATATTTACAAGCTTAAACAACATAATGGTGCATAGGTATGTGCAGGAAAAAGACCCGCTCATAGGAAGATTGTTTTAAGTGTCAGGAGCTCTTTAGTAGGTGGTCCCAAGACCTTAACTAACCCAGAAAGAGCAAGTAAGTGGTCTGCAACTCCACTTCGGGCCACAAGATAGAGCCATTACCACAGTCTGGTACAGACTATCGAAAATAAGCTAATAAAATCAAGATTTACATCTGCAAGTTAAAAAACACAGCATAAGGTTTAACAACCACTTTTATTCTGTTTTGATACTTTAATCACACACAGTAAGCAAACCTGAAAACTAGCCTTCTGAGGTGTATACAGCTTCTTTTGCAAAGAAGCATCACTTTCTGCTTGCCCAATTCTCGTATTTCTCCCCAGGCATCTGCTCCCCACGGAAGACTGCGCAGCACTGAGGCCGGCATCAGAAACTGCTGCTGCCTTAAGTTGAGGTGCAATGCTTGCTTCGTTAATTTTCCCCATCTGTATTCACAGTGCTATGCTATCTGAGTACTTTTAATGGCAAAATTGAGCTATTCTTTTTTTTCACTACCACTGTTCCTCTCCCGAGAGGGAGGGCCAAGATGGGGCAAGGTGGCTTTTTCTCCTCAGACACAATTTAACGCAGTTAGTGGGTTACCAACTACCCATGCACAATACAGTGCACGGGGTAGATGTCATTGCATCCACACATGTCTCTGGACTGCAGAGCACTGACGACTAACTGCAGGCATGACTCAAGGTAACGTGGACTAACAATGAGGGGAAATAAATCTCCTATTTGCAACTTGTTCTTATTTGATTACAAAGTTAGAGACAAACAAGCCATATTTGCAGTAACTTTTCAAAGTACAGCTCAACCAACCTTAAATCCATATTTTTCTGAATATACTTCTGGCTTCCTAAAGTGCATAGAAAAAAAAACACTATATATTCATTAAGACACCACAGTGTGTAGTAAATAATATTAAAGTGACAGTCAGTGTTTTGTCGTTACTATGCATACTGCCCAAGATCAAATAAACTCACCAATTAGGTATTACATGTCACAAATGAACCCTAATGTTGTCCACCCTGCAAGTAAAAGAGTGGACAGTCCACAGACCTCAAGTTTCATTCTCCTAACTTTTAAATATGATGCTGTGCTGCTTGCAGTTTCCATAACTGCTTGGGTGAGAGCAAATTTTCAAGATGCTATAAGGCATACAAATAACCACAAGATCAAAACTCATGCTCATTATGATGAATATAAAAGAAAACTACCTGTGCCAGTTCTGCATTTACTTAAAGTTTGAAATACAGAACTTGATGAAAAAGAGTGTAAACTGAGGTATATAGTTTTTCAATTCATTTCACAAATGTGATTTATTTAAAATGAAACACACACTTCAAGATGATTGAGAAACATCATCTGCTCAGTGCACACGCTAATTCACACAGGAAGAAAGGCCAAGACAAATACAGCGGGATCCAGCTGAGATTGCAACTCCATTTAGACAGACCAACACTTAACTTTGCAAGCTCACATCTGCGTGCCTTTTGGAAGAGCCAAGAACTTTACCCATCAAACCTGTACGCTGATCATAACCCAAAACTGACAGTATCATTTCCAGTTAAGAATTTCCCTGAATTTATGAAAGTGAATTAATTTTAAAAGTACTTAGATCTGCTTTCCCTAAAGGTCTGCTAAAGCTCTTACATAAACTCTAGATGCTTTGCTTACAGTCAAACAGGTCACAACTCATTCAGGACAATATTCATGCAGAACACTCAAAAGCAGTTTCAGCAAGTATTTTCAACTTCCTACTTTCAGGTAGCCCTGCAGCTTATAGAGTTAAAATAATATTTCCTTTCCTTCCTCCTTTTCCCTCTCTGAACTCACAATTGAATCATTTTGTTATATATAGTTTCCAACAAGTTGCTATTTGACTACAGAATAATTGAAAAAGATTCTCAAACTCTCACATACAAACTTACAAAATGTTAGTACTTAGAAACTGGAATTATGTAGAGAATTTAGTTGTAACAACACTATTTTCAATATAACTGAGATTTTTCCAAGCAGAGCTGTTGTTTCCTTTCAGTATTTTGCTCCATTTTTCACTCCACTTTCTTTCCTTGATCTTCTGCTGAATGCCATCCTTGGGTTTTGGGCTCTTTGTTCTTTCCCGTTATTACAATCTGTTCCTTCCTCTCTCATGGTTTATTTTGCTCCTTTGCTTTGAACACAAACTTATGTTCTTTTGATCACGTAACTCCTAGTGCTCTGATGCATTTCTTCCACATACGCGCATTTCTCCTCTTCAATAGTGTCTAGTTCTAGACTCTCCCATTCCCTGTTGCCTGGGAGCAAGTACCAATTCCCCCATCTGCCTACACAGAGAAATAGGCCAGCAACAAACACATGCTGACAACGAATTCTCCCACATCTCAGAAGATAAACTGCATTCACTGCTGGTGCAGAAATTGCTCTCTCTTGGAAGTCACTGTTTAGCCAGTAGGGCTGCAGGCATTTCCAACAGGGCAATGGCATGAGACTGTCTCAAAATTTTGATGCAAGTCTTTTTATCCTAACATTGCTCTAACTTTACAAAATTGCAACCGTCGACTAACTAATACATTTTTGTGTCACTCCTCAACTTGGCAGAAGCAAAGAAGAGTGACAGTCAGCTGGATTTCCTGGCTGCCGGTATAAACATCAACTCCGCTCCCCTGTAGGAACAAACTGCTGCCAGAAACCTGAGAAAATTCACAGTTCTCCAGTGAATGGAAGATACTGCCACTAGTTATTTCTTTCTCCCTACCCTGGAGGAACTGAGCTGCTGCCAATTAACATAGCATTTTCGTACACTTTGCAATCCCTTTGAACTTTTTCAGGATTTTAGAGGAAACCGTTTTGTCTCTATGTAAATCTATCCAGTGCAAATCCTAGTCACAAAAAAGGACTGATAACTGTAGCAGAAGCCCCTAGACAAGGGAATCTTGTTAGTTTGCATCCATTACTTGAAAAACGTAGCATTTATAATGGATTTGTACAAAAGCCAAGAAGAATCTATGTGCAATGGAAAAGAAACCAGAGACTAAGAAATGAACTGCACAAGATAAATGACAGTCAAAAATTCCATGGACTGGAGATTATATTGCTTTTCATGTTACTGCCCACATTACTATAAGCTGTCTTAAATGAACCATTATTTTACACTCAGAGTATACTTATATAAGATTTAATTCTGATGTTCTACCAGTCATTCCTTGAGAAATAGGATTAAAAGCTGATTATTTTGCCTACTGCATGAACACTCACAATGCTTAATGGCACAGAAACAATTCAGATCCGGGACAGAAGGCTAGCAACTTAAGTATTGGTTTGAGACTGCTACAAAAACAAAAGCTTCTTTTCCCCAGTTTGGTTTTCAGCTGTCCACAAATACAGGAAGATACACACAGAGCTTAACTCTCACACTAGTCAAACGTACCTTCTCAGTTGCCTGAATAACTGCATTATTGTATTTAAAAAATTCTCATAGATGCTTTCTTTAAATAATACATTAAAAACTCACGAAATCAGCTTCAAGTTTTCCCATTTCTTGTTTGTAGCTTCTCATTCGACTGCTGTACATTCCTCGGCTTTGAGGTGGGATCTCTCGAACTTCAAGTTCCATCTGCTCAAGCTAGCAAGTAAAAATGAAGAGACATGTAAATCAAAAGGGTAATTAAAGCAAGGATGAATTTACCTAAATTGTTCACAAATACTAAGAAATATGCCTTCTTTATCACAAAAAGTGTTGTTTATTCTGCAATATATAAACAATTTATCAAAATCTTTGCACAGCCTTAAGTCAACAAACAAGTAACAAAATTAATATTATTAACACCTGAAAGGAATTATTCTAGTCAAACATTCCTAGATTTCAATATCAAATGTAACGAATACATTTTATTACAAGAAAATAATAAAACTGAGGTTAAATAACTTCCTGCAAACGAGTATAGTTCAGAAGAAAGCCTACCTCCATCTACCTGTGTGGTTTTGGAAACCCTTGGCTGAAAAGGGTATTTTATTTATTTTTATACACACACACATATGTGTATATATATATACATGCACATGTATATATACGTGTGTGTGCATATATATACATGTTTAAAGTTTTATTTACCACCAGCATCTATGTTTAATAAAATAATTCCTGTTCTTTTAAATACTGCTTACTCAGCAGAATTACAAAGCCTGAACTGACTGCCTAAATCTACAACCCACATCTGTATGCACATATATGAAACAGCTGAATTTCAGGGTTTAATGACAGTACTATTCAAGAACTTGTATACAGCCAAATGCACTAAAACGTCAGAGATAGAACATATTTTTCAAAAGCTTCTTTATTCTTGCCATGTAGAATGCTAAGTGGCCTGAAATGCAAGAAAATGGCAGAGAGGTACAGAAAATCAAAAGGAGTTCTAAATCAGGGCTGAGCTGCCTGCTAATTACCTGCCCACTGGGTCACGAAGCCTCCTCTACATGGTGCTGTCTGTTTGGGAATTCTATTTTGCACAGCTGAAGAATCCCTTACCTGCATTTTAAAATCTTTCCAACTTACTTTAAAAAGATAAAAGAATACCTCTCCTTGGTTACTGTAGGCACCCAAAACTATACTTACTCACCTCCTACTGATCTCAGTTGAGCAATACGGCATTGGAACAGAACTGCCTTTCAATTAGGGTCCCAAGCTACTGGTTACAGGTCTTCACAAGGGACAGCTACAGTTTATTCCTATGCAATCGCCCGCTTACACTTTGAAATTTCATCCTCATATCATAAGAAAAGTATCTGAATTTAATCAATGGAATTACCAGATACTCAAAAGTCATTCTGCCTGATCTATTCTGATTATACAAAATGATATTCAATAATAAACTGTAAAGCAGACTTTAATTAAATACTCATTAATGAATTGAAAGATACAAAGCATTTCTAATTCTACCCAGTTCTTTGGCTCAGACTTAACTTTCCAAAGGGGTATTATAAATTAAACTGATAGCTGGAATTAATGGCTTATTTCTTATCAATTTCATCTCAATTTATTTGATCTCAAATGCTCTATAAACATAGAAAACATTTCTCATATATATATATATATAATTATATGTGCAAGGTCAGGATATTTTAATGAAGTCTCAATTCTTATCTATTATATAAAAATGAAACCATCTCCCAATGAATACAGAATTTGCAGCAAAGATCAGAACAGAGTCCATGAAATTCAAAATGCTCATTCTAAGGAGTCAGTATCAAAGAGTGTAAGGTCCAAGTAACAACAACAAAGCATGCATATTTAGGTTTAATACTTTTTTTTTCATCATGAGATTGAATGGGTACATTTTGTGGCTGGGTTAATAAGTTTCCATGCGAAGTCATGCAGAAGATAGTGGTCCAAGCAGGTGTGAACCTAAATGCAACCTAAATTCACGCATCTTCACTTTCAGGCCTCGTATTATTGGTCATAAAATCATATTTTTCATACACAAGCAAAAACAGAGCTAAAATCTACTTAAAAGCTAAAAACAACCTAGCACTTAAATCTCAAAACACCTGCAGAAGCCCAAGTTTTCTTCAGAAAACCTACAAGCTCAAACTTCTGTTGTTGCTTATGTCCAAACTTGCCACCACTGTGGTGAAGCTTTGCATTTTGGCACCTAACTCTTGACCAAACTCATAAACCAGGCCCCATCCTTACAGCTCCTCAGGGATTTACCCTAGTAGGTTTGTTCCTAACTACACCCAGTACACTCCCAGCACTGAATACAGCATAAACAAAGTAGAGCAGCCACTGGTATTTCTATTCAAAAATACAACAAAGTAATGTAATGCTGCTGATGTTGTCCACTGAAACCTGAAAAATAAACCCACTGAAAATAAGTCTCCCCCTCCCCCAGGAACTTTTCCACATGAAATTGCTCTGGACAGTTGCTAGTATTTAATGAAACCTGTAAGCTTCTTTATTTTATTCTGATTCTAAAGTCCTAAACTAAAACAGGTATCCACACTAAAACCCACAAGTGTCTAAATAAGAATAACCTAGCACTTGCAGCACTAAATTCATGTGTGTTATTAAAAAGCCAACTGTAGATAGGAATAACCTAGCATTTGCAACACAACTGTTTTGTGATGTGTCCCTCATAAAACAAAGACAAATCACACACAGACATTTCTTTCTTCTTAAAAGTAGAATTTCACTCAAAAATGCTAATTCCAGCTCTTCTAGCACATGCTAGATTTTATACACAAAAAATTTCCCTAATGTTATCATAACATTAACCTTTCCTTAAACCCTGGTAAAAATAACATTCGGATACTCCAGATGGGATGTAGAACAACAGGATTTCTCTCCAGAGATGTCTTACTCAACAGGTCCGGCTTGAAAATGCAGTCTGGGAGTCTGAAAGTTTTGGTGTCAGTTCTGCACATAGATCAAATCAATTACACCAGTGATTTCACCCAAACAAAGCAGACAGTGTTTTAAAACAATCAATGGTTCGCCAATGTAAATAAATCATCTCTACAATAATATTTATAATACATGACAGTGTTACTTCCTAGCCATGCAGGAAATAAAACAATCAGCTAAACCCAAGACAACGAAGCAAACCAATGTATGAAAGCTATCAGTAGCAAAGAATTAGGTTTATTTTGATTTTCTACTGTAGCCTTTAGTTTAAAAGAGGATCCTTTTAATCAGTTCTGTTATTAGCAGGTTTGTTCAAATTGATTTTTAAACCCAAGCCTTGACATTAATCACAACCATGTTAGGTAATTGCTTAAGCCAAGAATTGAATTAAGCACCTGTCTAGCAGCATTAGCAACAAGATCTAAAACAAAAGCGTGAAAGAAAAGCCAGTACATTAAACGAAGATCATCATTAAAATGAAAGTACAGATATAGGATATACTTTTTAATCTTACAATAAATACAAATTTAAAGGATCTTTTTCTGACATAAGGAAAGAAGTAATGTACCATTAACCCAATTTCTGCTCCTTCCAATTTTAGTACGAGTAGAAAACCAAATTTGAACTATTTTTCATCAGACCACCCATGCCACTATTTCCCTGTACCGCTATGCTTTTTTTCTGTGTCAAATTGTAGTGAAAAGGAAATGAAAAACATTTCTAGATTTTTACTTTCTTTCAGCTGCTTGAATATGAAAGGGCCCAAAAGGCCTTAATATATCTTCAGAACATTCTCATGAAACGGGACAGTAATTGTACTGCGTTTCTCACTGAGAATACCAAATCAGAGAGGTTAGGTGCCTTGCTATCCTCACAGGGGAAACCTGCAGGGAGTCATCCCAAGATCCAGCTTTCCTGGATGCTATTCCAGCGTTCTGGTCTACAAGACTAACTCAATTCTTAAACCAAAAGCACCAGGTATGTCAATAAACACTCTAGAGACCTTTTTCTTCCTATGCCACTTCAAAAAGTGAATTTTAATATGACTGTTTAAGTAGTAACCAAATCATTGATTCAAGTTGCTCAGTTATAACAACTTGCAGGCTAGGAGAACTAATTTCCTCTCCTTATCCTAACAGTCAGATTACATTTCTGACGCTAGATAGTCCAAACTCATTTGCGAGCAATAAACAAAAGCAGCTTCAGGCAGGAATTATTGGCCATGTGGGAAAAAGCCAATCTCAACCATCAGCTTCACTCAGTTACTGCACATCTACAAAACTTTACTTTTAAACTCCATCCAGATGGAGGATGTGATAGGCTGTAATGGGAACAAAATTTTAAAAAGTCACAGTTGCTTAATACATATTGCTTAATTCTGTCAGTGCAGCCCACGAACTAATGCTTAACTATATCCTCCTCTCATATCAGTAACCCATGCTACCAATGCCCCCTTAACCTCAAACAACTAAATATCTTTATGCCTCACTTGCTAAAGGGCAAAAAAAGATTTATTGCTTTACAAGACATCAGACAGATCAAATGAGGTAGATGCATGGGTCTTACAAGAAAAAAACAAATATTCCAGGTGTGTAAATATTTAATTCAATTCCTAAACTAAAAGACGTAATCCACAACTCAAAGCCTGTAGCAGCTTACAGAGTAATGCAAAGCTTGAATCACTTGGAACCCAAGATTAAAACAGGATACACTCCTCTTGGGTATTTCATATCCTCAAATAAGAACTATTTCAAAAATATTATATTATTTTCTAAGATATTATTGCTAAGTATTTTTAAAGCATCATGGTTTTTAAATGTTGCCA